ACAAATAAGTACATAGGCAAGGTTACCCGAGGCCGACGTCGATCGACCTGGTCGACCAGGTCCGCCAATGTAGTGGGTCCATGCCACAATATCCGAAAGTCGGCTGAAATCATTTAAAACCTTGTCAGGTTTACTGAACAAAATTATGACCGACGAGGTTTCCATGCCATTGGCTGACATAACCGCTCATGTACGGCTTTGGCTATTATGGCTTCACTGTCCAATGTCCCAATGTTTTTATGTAGGCAGGTAGTGGTGGGCCACATCTGTGCCACGGTTGTTTTTCCTTGTGGATTCGTTACCCGTTGCCCTCTTTCTTGTTCCTGATGCTATGGAGGGTGGCTGGGGCTGGTTGGGGGAGGGGGCCGTGTATGTTTCGCCTCCGCCATTGACGTGCCTGCCCTAATTGTCATGTTCCCATCCATGTGCTGCACGTGCAGCAGGCCTCGGAAGATGGGGCCAACGTCCAGCCGGGAATGGAGGTAAGATGGGGGGGAGGGTCGGGGCTCTTATGTGTTTTACGTGGGGCATCAAGATGCTGTCGTACTCCGATATGGCTATCGGAGTACGGCAGATTTGTTTGATGTAGGCAGGTAGTGGTGGGCCACATCTGTGCCACGGTTGTGTGTTTCGTTGTGGAATCGTTACCCGTTGGCCTCTTTGTTGTTCCGGATGCTATGGAGGGTGGCTGGGGCTGGTTGGGGGAGGGGGCCGTGTATGTTTCGCCTCCACCATTGACGTGCCTGCCCTAATTGTCATGTTCCCATCCATGTGCTGCACGTGCAGCAGGCCTCGGAAGATGGGGCCAACGTCCAGCCGGGAATGGAGGTAAGATGGGGGGGAGGGTCGGGGCTCTTATGTGTTTTACGTGGGGCATCAAGATGCTGTCGTACTCCGATATGGCTATCGGAGTACGGCAGATTTGTTTGATGTAGGCAGGTAGTGGTGGGCCACATCTGTGCCACGGTTGTGTGTTTCGTTGTGGAATCGTTACCCGTTGGCCTCTTTGTTGTTCCGGATGCTATGGAGGGTGGCTGGGGCTGGTTGGGGGAGGGGGCCGTGTATGTTTCGCCTCCACCATTGACGTGCCTGCCCTAATTGTCATGTTCCCATCCATGTGCTGCACGTGCAGCAGGCCTCGGAAGATGGGGCCAACGTCCAGCCGGGAATGGAGGTAAGATGGGGGGGAGGGTCGGGGCTCTTATGTGTTTTACGTGGGGCATCAAGATGCTGTCGTACTCCGATATGGCTATCGGAGTACGGCAGATTTGTTTGATGTAGGCAGGTAGTGGTGGGCCACATCTGTGCCACGGTTGTGTGTTTCGTTGTGGAATCTTTAGCCATGTCATGTTGTACACTACATGCTATGGAAGTGTGG